ATTAAATAATAGACTCTCTGATAAGATGGATAAGGGGAATATGACATTAAATAAAAGACTCGCAGATAAGATAGATAACGGGAATATGGCATTAAATAAAAGATAAGATGGATAACGCGAATATGTCATTAAATAAACGACTTAAAACAAGTCATGTGTAACATCACATAACGTGTTGATGACGTTGAAGGCATGGCCGCCCTCAATGAAAGTGAAGTGAAAGATTTGAAATCGGAGATAGAAAAAGTCCAAACTAACCTGAGCAAACCACTACATTTGAAAGAAGATTGTTGCGTCAAGAAATCCATGACCGTAAGACGAATCTCCTGTTTTATGGCATAAAGGAAAATGTAAATGAGGACTCCGAGAGGGTTCTTCGTGATATGTTCGCTAAACACCTCAACCTGCATGACAATACAATAGACAATATCTACTTTAAAGCCATCCACCGGCTCCCCAGAAAACCCTTCCCAGATGGCCCCACCCCAGATGCCCCCTCCCGAGACGCCCCCTCCCCAATCATAGCCAGTTTCTTGAGTATGGCTGACAGAGATATTGTGTTAAGGTCATCCAAATATCTTAAAGGCAAACGAATGTCAATTCGAACTGACCTTTCAGCAAAACTGAAGAAACAACGAGCTATTCTCTACCGCAAATCTCGTGTCATATTTCAAGAGGAGAAGGTCCAGACCCGTGTCCGACAGATGTAGACCATGTCCTGGAGAGCAAGCGATGTTTATGTGCTGCCGTGACTACTGCCGCCACTCGAACACTGACGTTAACCTATTTTTGTCCTTCTAACTTTGTCAGGTTAAAATGTTAGATAATTTAAATCAACCAGTTTTCACATCAAAATCTAGGCCAAATATACAACACATTGGTGGCAAATGACTGGACTTCGAAAGTTAAAAAATAGTTGTGTTTAGTAGGTTTTGCTGAATTTGGGGGGAAAGGCCTAGTGATAGTTGTGTAGAAGAGTTTGTGATACGACTGACATGTTCATGAACAAGAATAGCAGGCCTCACTGACGTGTGGGTATATTCTAATCTGTTTAAAACACCGTTCTGTGTGGAGCCTTACGTAAAGTTTCGTCGAGTTTTTATGATTATCTCAGTTTTGATTTAGCTCCCATTAATTAAACAAAGAACGAGGCGGACATAATACAAACACAAAGGAATGAAGAATCTGAAGTATGCCATGTACAAGATGATGATCACTGCTCGTTCGTCTGTAAGACTCACTCCGCTCACTGACAAATGTATTGCTACAGGAAGCACTATGTACCTCCCACTCTACAGAAATACTAATGTTTGTTGATGACACAGAACATGTTAGACAGTTAGCAAGCTTGTGTATCTCATACAATGCAATAGATAGAGGAATGGTGCGTAATTCACAGAATGGAGGTTGGCTGCATGGTACATCCAGCCGTGGCTGGCTGCATGGTACATTCAGCCGTGGCTGGCTGCATGGTACATTCAGCCGTATGGGTCCACGTCGTTTTCAGCAATAGCCCAGACTTATGACGGCGGTAAATACCAACAGCAGCCTCCATATACTGAACCCAGAACTACTGGAAGTAGATAGTTACATGGAGCATCTCATCCAAGTGTCTACATATACTGAACCCAGAACTACTGAACCCAGAACTACTGGAAGTAGATAGTTACATGGAGCATCTCATCCAAGTGTCTACATATACTGAACCCAGAACTACTGGAAGTAGATAGTTACATGGAGCATCTCATCCAAGTGTCTACATATACTGAACCCAGAACTACTGGAAGTAGATAGTTACATATAGAATTATACTGAACCCAGAACTACTGGAAGCATAGTTACATCAGCATCTCATCCAAGTGTCTACATATACTGAACCCAGAACTACTGGAAGTAGATAGTTACATGGAGCATCTCATCCAAGTGTCTACATATACTGAACCCAGAACTACTGGAAGTAGATAGTTACATGGAGCATCTCATCCAAGTGTCTACATATACTGAACCCAGAACTACTGGAAGTAGATAGTTACATGGAGCATCTCATCCAAGTGTCTACATATACTGAACCCAGAACTACTGGACATATATCCAAGTGTCTACATATACTGAACCCAGAACTACCAGAACTACTGGAAGTAGAAGTAGATAGTTACATGGAGAATCTCATGCAAGTGTCTACATATACTGAACCCAGAACTACTGGAAGTAGATAGTTACATATAGAATCTGAACCCAGAACTACTGGAAGTAGCATATCCAAGTGTCTACATATACTGAACCCAGAACTACTGGAAGTAGATAGTTACATGGAGCATCTCATCCAAGTGTCTACATATACTGAACCCAGAACTACTGGAAGTAGATAGTTACATGGAGCATCTCATCCAAGTGTCTACATATACTGTACTGGAAGTCTACATCTCATCCAAGTGAACCCAGAACTACTGGAAGTAGATAGTTACATGGAGCATCTCATCCAAGTGTCTACATATACTTGAACCCAGAACTACTGGAAGTAGATAGTTACATAGCATCTCATCCAAGAATCTCATCCAAGTGTCTACTGATATCAGGTATATCAACACGAGTTGATCAAGTCACAAATATCCAAGGCTTGCCGACGATAGTTCTACTTTTATCAACGAGTGTTGATATATTTGATATCAGTAGACACGACTGGCTATTTATCATCAAAAATCACTCTTCATTAGTTTTCAATGAAAAGTGTACATCTCTGAACACGGTACTGTCATTAGACTTGCAGTGCAGCGATGTTATAGCATTGTGATGTCATCATTGTACAAGATCTACTGTCAAAACGATATCTCCTAGGAGATATCGTATGATCTCACACAAGTAATATCTCCTGTGGAACAAAGGTTTGGATGAAAAAATACATAAATCCATCATTAAATTCTTAAATACCATTCTTGTTGAGAATACCCATCAAAGATAGGTACAACAACAGAAGAAAAACAGGGGAAAAACAACAGAAGACAGGGTGCGCTGAAAATAGCTTTCATTTGCTCATAGATACGTATGACACCACTTGATTATAACCAGTTGGTGACAGTAATTGTAAATACATGTACACATTTAGACCGTCATCCCGAGTCTTGTAGTTATGTTCCATGACACTGACATCCACGAGGACTTGGACAGTAAAACACATCATAACAGACAGAACAATAGCAACAGATTCAAGAATGTGAGGCGTGGAGATGTTTTTGTCACAAAGTTGTGGCCAACAAATATCACCGCATGTCTTGCTCCAGATTTACAACATATTTTCACAATGAAATGAAGAGAAAGATGTAAGAAGCGTATGACCAGTGTAATGCATCAATAAGCTTTGTTTACTGTTTAAAGTCGTTCTTATGTATGTTCCTGTATCTAATCCATCTATACGACAGCGGTCTTAGATAATGGAGCCGGAACCAGACAAACCAGTGATCTGTATGCAACACACGATGACACACTGTCACACCGTACCCGACCTTTCACGTCGTCGTGGATTTGGAAGAAAATACCACAGCACAAGATGTATACTTTCTTTTGTACGTAAGTATAGGTTCCTATAGGCCACCCCTGGGGACCCCATATGAAGGGGCATTTTGTACAAGTACCTTTTCCGTTCTCAAAATATCAGTCTTTGTCTAGGTTTTTAAGTGAAGAGAAACAATGTTTTCATGGATTGACAAGTTCCTTATTGTATCTATTGCGTTTAACCGCCGTTATATTGCTATAATATTGCTACACTCACTCACTCACTATTGAAGCTATAAAGAAGATGTCAACAGATAAAGAGTGTTCCTATGCATCATACCAGCTTCAAAATGTCACTTAAGCAGATATTTTCCCACATTTCCATTTTGAGATGTTCCCTGATTTTGTACATAGAGAATACTACACGAGGTCTCATTACATACGAATTATACGAAACGAGTGTCCTTCCTATGGTATCTGACCGAGCAAAAGCGAGGTCAGATAACATAGGAAGGTCACGAGTTTCGTGATGACCGAGTGTGGTATTTTATTTATTACCCACGTCTTACATGCATTAAATTGACAAAATAGCGTATTTTTGTTATGTTTTTGGTTTCAAACCGAAACCGGTTTCATAAAGAGGTTGCGGAAGAGTTTTGTACTGTAGTACAATATTCGCATGACGTCACACTGTAATGACGTCACTGCCTTGGTAACCGACGTCACGATGCATGCCAGTTGTCATCGCCTCGTACAGCCTCCTACAGTAAACTACTCCGTAGCACCTCGTTTCTTGGTTTCCAGTTGCTTCATTCGGCTAACATCACTGGTGGAAACATTGCGTTTATGTTTTTCGACGGATATAATGTCTCAGTTCGACTCACAATTAAACAGCGACACGGCAACGTTCGCAATGTTTACATTCCCACAATGCATTTAAGTTGTAGAATGAATGAATTCACGTGTTTGTTATGAATGAAAAAATAGTTACGTCCGAATGTGACCTAATTGAGAGGTCATCGGTTATCCAATCAAATCGTTAGAATCTCAGGTCAAGTCGTTACGATACAGGTCAACGCGATACGACACTCGTGTGCCGTACGAGATTAGTATGCAACTACCCATACGCTGACCTCGTGGGTAATAAATACATATATCCCCCATACTCTAGCGACTGTACAGAGTGTACACATCCGTCCTTATGTAGTCCAGGTTCCACTGACCTGAGGTCCAGTAATGGTCAGTCCTACATCGATACAAAGTGAGTGTTGTTTGCAGTGTGCGAAACAGCCACTAGCCTGCCAGCCCGTGGCTAGTAAAAATCCAGTCGGTCCAGTAAATCTCACAGTCCTGGCCCGACTGGCTAGTGAATTTTCATGGGGTATGGAGTATTACTGTATGACTTATTTGAGTTATCTGAGAATAAACAAAATATTTCAGAAATTCAGACATCTGATTTCTTATTTGTTTTTAATGGTAATCTTTTGCTTAGTTTCTACATTTATATTTCGGGCTAGTGACTTACTTTGTGGGCTAGCAATATGTTGAAACTATTTCGCACACTGGATCTTTGTTGAGTCATCAAGCAGATGGCAGACCTGATGTGGAGGAGGCTGTACTGTATGTCCTGGTTCTGTATGTAGGGGCAACCCTACCTGCTGTAGGCTTTGTGAGAAGACACATTCTGTACGTATATGTTAGATGTGTCCAAACAATAACACTTAAACATTGCAGGTAGCTTTCTATTTCCCAACAGAATATAAGGCATCCTTGCTACAGATCAGTAAACGTTACAGATACGTTTCATTGCCAAATGAATCTCTTACATGAAGGATTAGCCTTAGTTGGTGGTGTGTGTGTATTTGTTCAGAATGTTATGGGGAACAGCAAATGGTCGGCTGCTGAGGTAACACCAGTAATATGCACATAGCAACATTATTATCGACTTACTTCATCCTGTGTGTGATATTCCTGTGTTTAATGTAGATGATATCGACTTACTTCATCATGTGTGTGATATGCCTGTGTTTAATGTAGATGATATCGAGTTACTTCATCCTGTGTTATATTCCTGTGTTTAATGTAGATGATATCGAGATGGTACTTCAGCGTACATCCTGTGTTTAATGTAGTTGTCGTCTACGGTGTACACGCCGGTAGCGGTTGTGGATGTTGCGGTTCGCTCTCAATTTCATCGACTTCCGGTTTTACCTCATTAATTGAGTTATACGATTTGTCTGTGGATTTCTCTCTCTTGTCTGCAAATGCTAGAAGTAGGTTATATGATCCAGACAGCTGTATTTCCTTATGAAGCCAAATTAGCATTAAGAACAAGATGAAATATATCATAGCTTCTACTAAATAAGCAAAACCCGGAAAGAAGAATACTGAAGCGGCGTAGATATTGGTAAACAGAATCGTTCCTATCAACTTGGAAGCAGTTTCTCCGCTAGCAACAAGTGAGAAAGTTTTACCAAGTTCGTCTTCACTCACATGCTTGCTCATGAGAGACCTAAGGGCTGACGTAATCATCCCAGCCAGTGCTCCTATGACAACTGAAGTATACACCATCCACGTCTCCGAGCAGAACCCCGCCCACACTGACCGGACAAGCTTACAGCCTATACCTATCATCACAATGAACACATCCGGGATCTTCATGATGGTTGACAGAACTGGGAGAAAGAGGAGGAGGCAGACTCCCATCACAGCGTAGTCCAGGGACAATAGATAACCATACCATGACTCTGGCCAGTACAGGGGACTCCTCTGGACAAACAGAACAGTCACGTCCATCTCACCCACCTTACACGTCTGGTTGATGATGGTGGCGATGAACAAGATGACGACGATGCAGCGAGTGTTATCTTTACGTTTCTTGAAAAGGACCATCAGTGAATCCTTGATGCCTGAGATGTTGAATAGTGTGCAGGACTGATGTGGGTCCACCGTGACCTTCACCGACTCCTCCATACAGAAGACGGTGGTGAGCACCGACGCGGCATGGAAGAAGGACACGGCGCAGAGAGTCACCTGGATGTTTGTGGTATCCTGAAGTGTCCCCGACAACAGGGACCCAGCAAACAAGCCGAAGAAGTTCATGGCCAGGAGCTTACCTAGTTTCCTCGTACGTTGATCTTTATCTGTGATATCAGCAGCATAGCTGTTCACAGCCATCGTAATGACAGAGCTTTTGCCAAAGATGCCTTGAACCGAAGCTCCTGTGAGGATGAGGACGACGGAGTAGTCGGGGTACTGGACACTGATGAGGTACAGGATCACAGCGAACACACTTCCAAGACTTGGAATCATCATTGGGATTTTGCGGCCGTATTCGTCACTCCAGGCTCCACAGAACAGCCCTAGAACAATAGCGGGGACGTTGACCAGGATCCGGTAGTACATCAAGTAGGAGGCGGCTCTACTCTGGATCTTGTCCTCGTGTTGGTGGAACAGACGGATCTCGGTACATACCGTGGTGTTCATGTGGAACATGTCTCTACACACTGCCTGAACGATGTACGGCCGGATAGTGGCGTCCAACATGGACTCGCCCGTCTTGTACAGGAAGAAAATGGTTTCCGCCATGAAGGTGGCGAATGTACACCACCCATACGTCATCATTGTGCCACTCTTCTATTTGTATATCTGAAACGTGTAAAGTCAATTAGTTAGTTTTCATCTCAATAAGGCCGTTATACAAATTACAATTATATAATACATAGTTATACATTAGACAGTTATACAATACACAGTTATACAATAGACACATATACAATACACAGTTATACAATATGCAGTTATACAATAGACATAAAATAAACCTGTATATTATACCTCAGTCACATAGCATACAAATCAGGCAACCGGATACGGCGCTTTCTTCCCTGACACAAGTGACCGGGTGGAAGCCTTATCATCAGTCTGTCAAAGCCGTGTCAGCTTCTAAATTTCCTTTTTAAATATCAGAAGGTTGTTCCATCATTAATAGGGTCGGACATATCCATAGTGAAAGCTTGCTGCGCCTTGTTAAACGCCGCACGCCAATAACATGCCCATGGTCAACAGTCTTGAAGAACCGTTGTACATCGGAACACACATAAGAGCGAGACTAATTCTTGCGAATGACAGTTCAACGCATTCTCTTCCCACAGAGGTTACTCCTGTCATATCTTCCTACGTAACCTCTGTTCTAATACGGCCATATTTCCCGGTTCTCTTAAAATCCCCTAGCGGCAAAAGATCGCAAAACGAATTATCTCCCTTCTTTCTATCCAATCAGAACACGTGTTACATCGACTTAGATTCAACTTGACTAACACAAGCAAATGTGAAGCCACAAATATCCCCCATCTGCCGGGGACTTGTGTTGATGTTACACACAAGACGTTTAATGGCTAGCTTGTCCGTTGTCAACGAGGGCGATGGAGACGCCACTGATCCGCCATAACATGACTGAGTTCTGTCTAGAGGAAACGTTTGCGCATCGCGCAGGGGAAGAGGTTTAGTTTTCTCGAAGTATACGGAAATTACCGAGACCTTGCGAATGATCACTTTTGAAACAACGTCGCTGATTGCACAACTAAATCTGATTGTCTCCAATCACGAGTCTTGAACGCTCACACCATGAAAGGGCCGTATTAGAACAGAGGTTACGTAGGAAGATATGACAAGAGTAACCTCTGTGGGAAGAGAATGAGTTCAACGGTAAACGTACTGACAAAGTCCTGCTATCCAACATTACGTTTATCATACTCAGCATTCAGATCATACTCAGCATTCAGATCAAATCTGAAAACGTATCTGTTTCAAAAAGCTGTTTCAAAAAGCCTACCCTACATGTTGAAGTGTATGAAATGAACTTATTTCAATCCTGTGCTGTGTACTTTGAACATTGGGCGCTTCGAGCATGCATTATGCGTGGAGAAATGCGCATTACAAATGGACTATTATTATTATTATTACGTCCAACCACGTGTAGACCACACCACATGTTATGGTGGAGTGGAGATCATGTTGGACCACATGAAACTACGTATGTAACTGGTTACCTTCTTCCACTGGTTAGTGTCACAAGCATCCTAAACTCAACACAAGCTTTCCATCAAACACATTCAACACGGTAGCAACCAAGCTTGTGTTCCTGAAACTGCGAAATGTTCAGATCACCAGGAGGCAACAGACTCCAAGTACTTCTGTCCGTCATGTGACTGTATGCTACACATTAACCGTGTAGACCCATACTGATTATTAGTATTACTGATTGTTGGCGACACAAGTTAGATGTACCAGTGCGACCTTTCCGCCTGTAGTGCTCAGGTCGGATTACGCAAAACATGTGAGATTACACAGATATGACGAAGCAGCTTAATGAACCGTTATTGTTGTACTTACTGTCGTGTTATAAACAAGGAACTCGGCGAACGGATTTTCTACACACAACATGTGTTTTGTTTGATATGACACAGGGAAGATGTATAACCTAGAGTAATCTGCCGGAAGACTTTAATGAATTTGTTTCTAAATACTGAAATCTTGGAAATGAGAATTTCAAATTATTTTTCATTCAAAAATGACTCGTGAGTTATGAAGTGTTTCACAGTTGTCTTAAAGGAATTAAACTTACTGAACCCTCAGAAGTCTCCTTGAACTGCCACGCCCTGGTGTAGTTTAGGCAGGAAGTGGCGATGGGCGATGGTTACTGAATGAGTTTTATCTGACTGTCGCTGTTAAACATCGTGAACAACAGCGGCTGTGTTGCAGACATAAATAACGTCCGCTAGCAATGGGTCCGAAGTGATCGTGCACGTGTTTCACACTTCAATGTAACGGAAGAGCTCCAAATAAACAAATAAAATGTACAAAGTAGGTTTTCGTTTCCTCAGTGTACAACTATACTACATCTATCATGAGTTGCATGTTTCCCACCAGTATTGATCCATCAATTGGCACATCCTCGAGGGTGGTAGTGTGTGTGTGTGCGTGCGTGATATAAGCACCCCACCTCGTTTTTGCGATATATTTTTTAGCAGATGTATAATCTTATTCCATCTGTTTACAGCACAGTCTATATGGGATCCCCATGCCAGTCTCTAGTCAACACATGCACCAAGACATTTATACCCGCGTACAATTTTAGTGATCTATTTTGTGATCACTAAGAATTAGCTCTATATCTGAAGCAATTTTAGTGATCTATTTTGTGATCACTAAGAATTAGTTCTATATCTGAAGCAATTTTACGCGTGTTAACATCATTGCAACAGATAAGGACTGGGAAACCTTCAATCCACAAGTAGAACGGCACACATTATTTTTGTCTAAGCATTTCTGAATCGATTCAATATCAAACTCGAAATTTCCGAAATAAACCATCATCTGCAAACTTACTGCGTTTACATTTAAAGGTAAAAATGTCATTTGTTATAATATTGAAAAGCACGGGACTGATAACACCACCTTGAGAGGTACTATACCCAGTCATTCAGTCAAACCAGAGACGTCTTGACCAGTACGGACTTGAGTAGTACTTTCAGAAAGAAACGAGTGAATCCATATGAACATGTTGCCATTTCACCCCAGAATCTGCAACTTGAAAAGAAGTCCTTTTCTCCAGATTATATGGTAAGCTTTCTCAATCTCGAGGAAGACGCACCACGTGCAGTCTTGACTGCATACATACAGTGTGCTGTTGTCTGGAAACATTCTTGATGTTGGGTACATGGACGTTCCTTCCTAAACCCTGACTGTATTGTTGACAGAGGCCTTAGCCTCTCCAGAAAACATTTCAATTGATTTGTGACTAATCTTTCCATAATTTCTTCAAAGATTTGGTCTGTATGAAGCAGGCATAGATGGATCCTTCCATGCTTGTAGTATTGGAACAATGATGGCATGTTTCCAGGCTTAAGGAATGGTACCAGAAAGCGAACAGATACTTAAAAGATTTTTGAATATTAAAAGAGTACGTAAGTATGGTTTTACGCCGCACTTAGCACTGTTCAAGTAATATCACGACTGGGGGCCACCAGAGAAGAATCGGGCATTTATTTAAACATCTTATAGCATAGGTGATCTGCTCAAGGAGAGGAACTGTTTGTCTTTTATATGACATCTTTGTGTACATTGAAAGAGAACTATTCAAGTCAGAGCTACTGTCCATTGTGGCACCAGAAATATGAGGTAAAACATTGGTTTCATCATCCGCCTCAACCAGATACAGGACAACGGCTATTATCCACAGGTACAGATTTAGGCCAAATGGAAGATAATGGAGTAAATATATTTATATCAGACAGTATCCTCGAATAATTGATTGTGTGACTATTTGAGTGTTTCTTTTACAGTAGATTGATAGGGAATGAAACAATTGAACTTGAACTTGCTATTATGTAGATCGTGTGACATTCCCCCGACATAGTTAAAAAAAACTTTTATAGGATTCATCTTTAATTTTTCTCTCATGTTACTTACCGTAATGAACTTTCTTTTGCTGTCCTTTATTGTTGTCAAAAACCGTTGGGAAAAAATACCGGAATTGTAATTGACCTGAACTGCGCATGTGTGATACTGATGTATTGGCGATAACTGTTCGCTAGCCAGTAGAGTTTCTTCCACATCCAGGTAACGAGAAAGTGACTATGACAAACCCTATTGCATTCTGTTTGTTCGCAATGTTTGCCTTTTCACATTCATCATTCCACTTTATGGATGAAAGTAGATCGCTTACTTGATATTTGAGTTTTGAAGTAATGTTATCATTTGAAATATTTGAAAACCCGACCAGTTTGCATGTTTAATTTTCAACAGGGAACATGTACACTCAAATATCTATGAGGACTGGCCTGAAATTCAGTAAATACTGGGAAGTGATCACTACCTAGAGCATGGTCTTGGACTACATCCCAGTTACATTTAGGGGCTAATGAGGGGGTAGAATTGAAAGGTCCAAGTCAGAAAACACCAATCTTCCTAAATCCAGTCTCAGTTTACCTTCATTTAAAATCACCATCTGTGATTCATCTAACATGTGGTCAACAACTGTTCCATGATAGTCTGTTTCATTAACACACTGTGACTATTAAAACCGCCACAGATGATATAGGGACCAGGCAAATCTCCATTAATTTCATAGAATCGTTTTACATTGGGTTTTCAAGTGTTGTAAACATTATCCACTGTGATAAATTTATTTTCGTCACAGTTTTAGGTAACTTATGCTCTTAAAGAACAAATCCCATTTTACAAATATTGCGCAGCCTCCCCTACCAGTCTTCGTGACATTTGGATTGCTCGTAATACTGGCGTAACTTGACATAACCATTAGTATTAGAATTGCTCTCTGGCCATAGGAATGTCTCCTGCGCACATTATGACGTCTGGGAGTTTGGAAATATTCTGTATAAATTGTTTGAGATTATCACCATGAGGTACCAGACTTTGGGCATTCCAGTGTAAAATAGTAAAGAAGAGAAGAGTTTTATTCAATCAATCAATCTTTATTAAGTACTTAAAAAGGCCACAGGCCTGTAGACATTTACAAATTCTTTTCTATAACAATCTGTTTTCTTAAATTCATAGCGAAAAAGATGTACATTGCCAGATTCTGTAATAATAATAATAATAATTTTCTTCTTTTTTTTTTTTTT